GTTCTGCTTCAATTCGAAGAGATATCCGAATACGTCCATCTTTTTATTCTAAGTAAAATGTCATTTCCGAAAAATAGAAGCGTGAGTGTTTCAAAAGGTTTAATGGCGTGGCAGATGTGAAGTTAAATTCACCAACTCAAACAAACAGTCAAAGTGTTGTTGTCAATGTCAAAGACAGAGATGTTGAAGTGGGAAACCATACGAAGACGAACATGGTATAAACAATTGTTCCTGTAAAAGAACAACCAACATATCCTGAAGTTAGCAGAGACTTAAGTTCTGTTTGCAGATATTCGAAACGACTACCAACAACTGAAAGACAAACTTCAAACTCAGGAGAAGATTTGTCAAGCTTTAAGTATAATGTTAAACTTGGTCGAACACAACCTGTAAAAGTGAACTCATATGTCATTGCACCTCATGAAGTTTTGAAAAGAACTATTGAAACTTTTGACAGAGGCAGACGATATAAACATCAAAGAAATAGAACCCGACATTGTTGCTGTGGTGTTTCATATAATGTCATTGACAAGATATACGTTATGAAAGAGGTGAAACGTTGAATTTAAAGTATAGTTTCCCAGACGTCATAAAAATATTTGACGACCACAACATTTTCATTAAAATTTATTTGCTAAGTAAAAATGTCAAAACTTCTTGAAAGATGTTTGAAGAAAAATAATATAGATTTTATTTCATGTAAAGGACTTTACACACTTTTGACGATATGAAAGACCCTGTTTTGTTTGTTCGTGTAGACAAAGGAAAGTTCTATTCTTTACAAAATATTTGAACTTCTTAGACAGAGAACTTCAAGAAACGCCATGTGAAAGTTTAGATGAAGTTCTTCTCCACTTTCAGAAAAACTTTTAAATATATATAAATGGCAGAAGATATAATGGTTTATACTATTACGACTAAAAAACCCTGAGTCATATAATTCTATAACAACAAACTTACAAAGTCCTCAGGACGATATTGTAAACTAACCTTAAACACAATGAACGACTAAAGCCTGTTTTGCTCTTTTGACACCAGAAGACTTTATTGTTGTGAATGGTAAAAAATAATCCTTTGAAGATACTTACTCAGATATACCACCAACAGGTTTTGTTGACTTATTTAATACTTTAAGTACGGTGTAACATGTGCTGCAACTAGAGCAGGTTTCATTATGTTTGGATGTCCGACTGAGTTTACTATAAACGATATGAGCTATAATACAAAACTTATATCTGGTTTTTACTACCAACAGTTTCCTATAACAGGAAAAGGTGTCATACAAGGAATGTCTATTCCATTGACATTAAGCACACCAATCTTATATATTTGTTTCAAACTTAGGTTCAAAGTGTTATTCGAATGTCGACAGAAACTATTATGACCAAAGATACTTATGCGTATAAACAATACTTTCTCTGCTGGTTTGCCTATTGTTCATTCGAATGCAGAATTTTCAACCTTAGTGAACTCAAACACTTTGGCAAGTATAACGTTGACATTAGTTGACGCAAACTTTGTTCCTGTAAAACTTTTATGTCCTATGTATTTGTCAATGACGGCAGAAAGTTTCGAATTGGAAGATGCAACTGGTGAAAGTATTGTATTACAAGAACAACTTCAACAACAAATAGCTCAAGAACAACAAATGCAACAAATGCAACAACAAAGTCAAGAATAAAAAAAATATTTTTTTTTATTTTTTATAAAAATGTACAGAATAGATGTTTCAGATTTTTATGACTTCCAAGCATTCAGAAATATGTTCCATTTCGAGACTATAACAAAGCAGTCGAGAATTTGAAACGTTTAGTCATTTATGTTGACTCTGCCCCAGAATGTTATGTCATGAAAGAATGGGATGTTGTCTTTAACAAACCAAGAGCAACAATAGTGTCTGAACAAGAATGTAGACAGAAACTTAAGAAAATAAAAGTCGTACAAGTTGGCATGAAGATGTTAGATGCTTGGGATATCTTATTGTCAAAGTTAGAAGATTTTTCAGTTCGAGGTATAAAGTTCTATACACCTTCTCCAAACTTCTATTCTATCTTCACTGGATATAAATACGAACAAGTAGAATGGAAAGAAAATGTTATAGATGTTATATACGAAAACGATAAAAACAGTTTGACAGAAAAGTGACACCTTTACGTGTCAAAAATATAAAAAGTGATATTTTATTCATCATTATCTTCTTCATAATTTATTTCATATTCTTCGTCTTACCAACAAAAGATGGGAATGTGAACAATTGCGGGCAATTTTTAGCCATTTTGGCTTGGAACTAGAGCCTGCGAGGTACATGGATAGTATCAGTACCTCACAGGCTCTAGTTCTCTATATGGGCCGAGAAATTTTGGTGAAATGTGGTCGCATTTCACCCAAATTTTTTCGGCGCCATAGGATGAATTGGAGGGTGAGAGATATTATTTCATACAATACTACTCTCACCCTCCAATTCCCAGCCAAAATGGCTAAAAATGCCCGCAATGTAAACAATTGCGGGCAATTTTTAGCCATTTTGGCTTGGAACTAGAGCCTGCGAGGTACATGGATGGATAGTATCAGTACCTCACAGGCTCTAGTCTCTATATGGCGCCGAGAAATTTTGGTGAAAGTGGTCGCATTTCACCCAAATTTTTTCGGCGCCATAGGATGAATTGGAGGGTGAGAGATATTATTTCATACAATACTACTCTCACCCTCCAATTCCCAGCCAAAATGGCTAAAAATTGCCCGCAATGTGAACAATTGCGGGCAATTTTTAGCCATTTGGCTTGGAACTAGAGCCTGCGAGGTACATGGATAGTATCAGTACCTCACAGGCTCTAGTTCTCTATATGGCGCCGAGAAATTTTGGTGAAAATGTGGTCGCATTTCACCAAAATTTTTCGGCGCCATGGATGAATTGGAGGGTGAGAGATATTATTTCATACAATACTACTCTCCACCCTCCAATTCCCAGCCAAAATGGCTAAAAATTGCCCGCAATGTGAACAATTGCGGGCAATTTTACATTTTGGCTTGGAACTAGACCTGCGAGGTACATGGATAGTATCAGTACCTCACAGGCTCTAGTTCTCTATATGGCGCCGAGAAATTTTGGTGAAATGTGGTCGCATTTCACCAAAATTTTTTCGGCGCCATAGGATGAATTGGAGGGTGAGAGATATTATTTCATACAATACTACTCTCACCCTCAATTTTAATTACTTAAACTCATTCTATTTTTTGACATGTAAATGTCACTTTTACTGAGATCTGACACAATGTCAGATCTCTTTTTTTCGTATATAAGATAGAAGCTTGGTTAGACCATGTCAAAGAAATTATATGCAATGGAAACGAAAGAGTCTATGAGTATATCTTATGTTGGTTTGCAAATATCTTACAACATCCAAGAGTGTGGTAGAATTTACGAAAAAGTGACACTTAACCTTAAATTTCCAAACACTATTTTTTGATTATATTTTGTTATTTATATATTTATATATATATGTATATTTATATTATGTATAATATATATGTATATATTTATATATGTATATATTTATATATGTATATATTTAATATGTATATTTATATATGTATATATTTATATATGTATATATTTATATTATGTATATATTATATATGTATATATTTATATATGTATAATATTTATATATGTATAATAATTTATATATGTATATATTTATATATGTATATATTTATATATGTATATTATTTATATATGTATATATATTTATATATGTATAATATTTATATATGTATATATTTATTAGAAACTGCTTCATGCTGTGTTGAGTATTATTGAATTGGAAACTGCTTCATGCTGCATTGAGTATTGTTGAATAATTTGAAGTAGTGGTTTTGAAATCAGCACCCCTATGAGAGCTGGCGACCGAAACACCACTAGTAAGATTGTGTATTAGAAACTGCTTCATACTGTGTTGAGTAAGCTTCGATGTCTTTGTAGGATAGCTTTTCTGAGAGCGAAACAAGATAGTGTTGAAAAAAAATTTTGAAAATCTGAGAGACTGTGCAAGAGCCAACGACCAAAACGCTACCAGTAAGATACAGCAGTAGTAGCTGCTTCATGCTGCATTGAGTATTGTTGAATAATTTGAAGTAGTGGTTTTTGAAATCAGCACCCCTATGAGAGCGCTGGCGACCAAAACACCACTAGTAAGATTGTGTATTAGAAACTGCTTCATACTGTGTTGAGTAAGCTTCGATGTCTTTGTAGGATAGCTTTCTGAGAGCGAAACAAGATAGTGTTGAAAAAAAATTTTGAAAATCTGAGAGACTGTGCAAGAGCCAACGACCAAAACGCTACCAGTAAGATACAGCAGTAGTAGCTGCTTCATGCTGCATTGAGTATTGTTGAATAATTTGAAGTAGTGGTTTTTGAAATCAGCACCCCATGAGAGCGCTGACGACCGAAACACCACTAGTAAGATTGTGTATTAGAAACTGCTTCATACTGTGTTGAGTAAGCTTCGATATCTTTATCAGACCACCTTTAAATTAACCACTCACATTCTCACTGTGGTCCATCTAAAATTTGTAAGCTTTATGACATAAAATTATATTATATGCAGGATCCCACCTATTACTTAATCTTTTTGGAATAAATGTTTTATAATATTTATCGATTGATTGTAATTTTTTGTATAAAAAAAGTTTTTTATTTATATTAAAAATATATTTTGTTAATGATATTATCTTATAATTTGTAAATAAATCTAGTAATAAAATAACTTTAATAGTTGGTGTCACTTTTTCGAAAATTCTGGTTTTTTCTCAAAGAAATTATATGCAATGGAAACGAAAGAGTCTATGAGTATATCTTATGTTGGTTTGCAAATATCTTACAACATCCAAGTGCTAAAAATGAAACTGCTCTCATTATAATTGGAAAACAAGGAACTGGTAAGAACACATTCTTTACAGATATCTTATGCAAACTGTTAGAGGGCTATTCGAATCCGAATATGACAAACTTAGAAAACATCTGTGGCAAGTTTAACTCCTCAATAGAGAATATGAAACTTATAGTTTGCAATGAACTTCAAAGTATAGATACAACAAAAGTTTTGAACTCAGATGCTTTGAAGAGTCTTATAACAGATAAAGTTGGAGTTGTTGAAAGAAAGTATAAAGACCAAAGAGTTTGTGAAAATGTTGCAAACTTCATTATGGTTTCAAACAATGCTGTTCCGATGAAGTTAGAAAGTTCTGACAGAAGATATGTAGTTGTCAGAACGTCAGATTCTCATATGCAAGATACAGAATATTTTGACGACTTAGCAGAAACTTTGACATCTGACTTTTACAACCACTTGTTCTCATATTTTATGACATTAGATATTTCAAAGTTCAATCCAAGACAAATTCCACATACCGAAGAGAGACAAACATTGTTAGAAGCAAACAAGAGTGTATATGAACTGTTCATAGATGAAACTGACTTTGAGTGTTTAGATGAAAGGTCATTGTACGATTCGTATAAACAATATTGTCAAGAATATGGTTATATGACAGCGTCTAAACGAACATTCTTGGCAAATGTCAAAAGTCTTTTAGATGTTCAGAATGGTGTATATACAAAGAAAATTTTTTATGAGTAAATTTTAAAAAAAAATATTTTTTTTATCCGATAGAAAAGATGGCAAAATTCATCTCAGTAAACAAGTACATGTCAGGACTTAAAGAAGAACTAGACCCATTCACATATTTGAATGTTTACTTCTACCATTTTGAAAAGTCTTCATTCAGCAAAGTTTGGAACATCGAACCAGTTAAGTTTGCTGTCGTGACTAAAAATGGTGCGAAATTTGAAGACTTAGACATAGAAGGTTTGTTAGCAGTCAAAGAAAGTTTTGACAGAAGGTTTTCAAACCTTAAAGAAGGCAAAGCATACAAACTTGTTATACCTTATGAACCAAAGAAAGCAGACGACTATGAATATTATGAGTCTAAAGTTGTAGAAGTTCAAGGTAAATTGGGTAAAAAGATTTTAGAGTCTAAGCCAGTGTTTACTCCTAAAGAGGAAGAGAACATTGACATTGACCAGAAATGTTCTAAAAATAAAATTTTATTTTTACATGTCAAATTTCTTTTTCTCTGGAACTGGTTCAGGTTCTTTCTTCTCTTCTTCTACTTTCTTTCTTCTTTCTTTTCTTTCTTCTTCTTTCTGGTGGAGTTATGTCAAATTTGGCGCAACTATATTTATGTAAAAGTTCTTTGTCCTTTAATAGCTCATCTATTCTGTTTTCTATTTCATCTTCAAGAACAGCGCATGTGTCTTCTTTGCATTCTAAGAACTTTTGTTGGACTTCATCTTTCCAATCGGCGTCATCTCTGTCAACAAGTCTGTCATTGACAAATTTTAAGACTGCTCTGCTTAATGTTTTATGGTTCTTGTCATATTCCAGAAACAGAACTTTAGAACAAATTCACCTTTCTTGTTTACACTATGTAAGATTTTATGGTCGACAGATGTTTTGCTGTCGAAAAGTTTGTCTCGAATATAGATAGTGAAATCGCTAGACATTTTCTAAAAGATAAAAATTTTAATTTTTCTAAAAATATGTTAGAAAAAAAGTTTGCTGACATTGACAAGAAATTTGAGAATGTTTTAAACAAGAACAAGAGGAAGTTAGAAAATGCTCAGATAAAGCCTATACATGAAAAGTTCTTATTTGCTCAGAATGGTATAACAGGTCTAATCGCACCACCTGGGTCGGGTAAGACTTTCACTTATCTTAAAATGGCTGCACAACAACAAGAACTAGATGAGAAGAACCCATTTTATGAGTTAGTAGTCATTTGTAGTACTTCTGGTCAATTTGACCAAACCGTCAATTCGTTCAAAGATATTATAAAGAAGTCTAAGTTAGTATGTATAAAAGACTCTGAGTTGTTAGATTGGATAAAGAAGTACCAAAGAAGAGTTTTGAAGTATAATGCTATAAATGAGTATATAAATTCTAAGTTTAAAGACCCAAATGAGGAAATGCAGAGAATATTAGAGAAGAAACACTTCAGAAACAAACAGAAAGAGATAGAATACATTTCGAAGAAATTGCAATCTTACGATTGGAAGACTTACCCTCATAGATGTCTTCTTATCTTAGATGATTTCGCCTCTCATCCTTTGTTAAAGAATAGAGAACAAGACATGTGTCGAATTCTTAAGAAACTTAGGCACTTTAACATTTCAGTTGTCATTTGTGTACAGACAGCAAAGAGTTTAAGTAAGGATGTTAAAAGAATACTTACTGACATTATACTTTTCCCCGGATTGTCCGAAGACGATTTCATGGAACTTATGAAAGAGTCCATGGCAGGTAAGTTTGACAGATATGAACTATGGGAGAAGTACAAAGTCATACAAGACCCTCATACTTCTTTCAGAATTCATATCTATGCGAACAAAGTTCAAATTGTAAAAAGTCAAGCTTGAAAAATCTAAGTGTTTAGTCTTAGTAAGTAAGTCTGTTGTGGTTCTGCAGCTTTCGGTTCTTCTGGCTTTGGAAGGCATTCAGGAAGAGGAACGTCAGTCATCCGTTTGTGTCCTGTCGGAAGGAAAAACTTTTCCTGTTGGAAGGAAGAACTTTTTCTGTCGGAAGGAAAAATTTTTTCTGTCGGAAGGAAAAACTTTTCCTGTTGGAAGGAAGAACTTTTTCTGAAGTTCGACCAAAAAGTTCTCAATTTTCGAAAATTTGAATGGTTTACGGACGGACAACTGGAAAAATTTTTTCTGTCGGAAGGAAAAATTTTTTCTGTCGGAAGGAAAATTTTTTCTTGTCGGAAGGAAAAACTTTTTCTGTCGGAAGGAAAAACTTTTCCTGTTGGAAGGAAAAATTTTTTCTGTCGGAAGGAAGGACTCGGAATGCCAGAAGGATTTGACAAGGCAATTTACCTAATTGAGCTACTTGAGCCATCTGAAGTCAAGCTTGAAAAATAAATGGTTCATCTACCCTACTTGTTTGAAGTTGTCAAAATACTCTGTTATTTTTTCCTTTAACAATGACAAATCTTCTTTGAATGTAAGTATTGTACAACCTTTAATATCATAGTGTGTTTGAGGTAACGTATCTTGAACTATTTGTTTCACATCTTCATTTGGGGTCATTGAAATCGGTAAGTTTTCGCGATAGAACCAATTTCTGTCAGATTTGTAAATCTTAGCAAGGTCGTAAAAGCTTTTGTTGTTTCTTCTGACTAAATGCAACATAACCATATCTCTGTCTTCTTCTTTCTCCAACTCTTCAGTATAAATCATATACTTATAGTTCTTTTCCTTACCTTTTGGTACCGAACGTGGTATTCTTTTCTGAATGCTTTTGTCTTTTGCTTCAATGACTTCATCTTTTGCATGAAGTTTCTTTTCCATCTCTTCACGTTCTTGTCTATGAATTTCGTCAAGAAGTTTGTAAATATTCCAAGCATAACGAGCTGAAGCCCACATTGCAACAGCATTTACAAGAAGTCTATGTACATACCAACCTCTCAAACCATTTGGCAAATTTTTACGATTTTCATGAGTTTTAGGCGACCCCGAAGGAAGTCGGTCTCGCTGTGCTTCGCTCAAAAGTTCTTGTGTGCTTTGGTTTTTGAACCAATCGTCTGTATGTTTGGTATCTGGAGCAAAACATGCTGTCAAAATACTTTGCATTTGGTACATATCGTCTTTGACCGAACGAATTAGACGCAATTGTTTGTTATATTGTATGTACTCATATTCTTCATTTATGGCTTCATGGACTATAACTGTTGTTGTGTTCTCTGTTGTTGACATATCTGTCTTTACATACAAAATAAAAAAATATTTTATAAAAAATTAGCGTTATTTTTTCTATCTTAAGGAAATTCACTGTTTTCATAGAGTTTTGGCGACTAAGGTTTCTTACCTACTCGCTGTTCTTCACGATTTTCATACGGAATCTCTTCTCTCGGTTTTCCGAGGGAAGCAATCTTATGCCATTTTACTCAGATTTTTGTGCTGAATTCAGCAAAAATATATTTTATGTTAGCATGTTAGATCTAACCTCTTTTCTCACCTGTTTTTTTTTCATGAGCGTTTTACATGGTATATGTTGCGATGTATATTTGAAATCCTAAACAGTTTTGTAGCTTCTATTTCTTCTTTTAGTACATCGAATGTTTTAACAATGCCGAAAGTTTCTTTATATTTCTTCTTGACGTCAGATAGAAGGAAATCTTCTGCTGTTGGATAGTTTTTGTCAAGACTTCATTGTAAATGACCAAAAATATATTTTATGTTAGCATGTTAGATCTAACATGTTTTCTAACACGTTTTCTCACATGGTCTAAAACATACAAAACTCATGAAATTTCAAGACTTCTTCGTAAATGTTTTGTCAAGACTTCTTCGTAATAAGCGTAAATCAGACAAAAATATATTTTATGTTAGCATGTTAGATCTAACATGTTTTCTAACACGTTTTCTAACATGGTCTAAAACATACAAAACTCATGAAATTTCAAGACTTCTTCGTAAATGTTTTGTCAAGACTTCTTCGTAAATGTTTTGTCAAGACTTCTTCGTACATGTTTTGTCAAAACTTCTTCGTACATGTTTTGTCAAGACTTCTTCGTACATGTTTTGTCAAACATGAACGTAAATGTTTTGTCATGACTTCTTCGTAATGAGCGTAAATCAGACAAAAATAAAGTTTATGTTAACATGTTAGATCTAACATGTTTTCTAACATGTTTTCTAACATAACTATTTACAAGCGTTTTACATGGTATATGTTGCGATGGTTCATGACTCTAAACAATTTCGTAGCTTCTATTTCTTCTGTCAGTACATCGAATGTTTTAACAATGCCGAAAGTTTCTTTATACTTCTTCTTGACGTCAGATAGAAGGAAATCGTCAGCGGTTGGATAGTTTTTGTTCAGAAATGCTAACATGTCCATTTTATCTTCTGCTGGCTTTTCTGCTTCTTTCTTTAAATCTGCATAGTCGTTTCTCATACGTTCTATCTCTTTGACGGAGTAGTTATATTTCCTAATTGCTGCTTTACATTTAGAACATTGCGGGTTCATTTTTGCGTTATATTCTGAAACCTTACCTGCTAAAACAACTAAAGCGTCAATTGCTCTCTTTAACTCAAAAGTTGCTGGTTTTATCTGTTTGTTCCATACCTTACCTCTTCTATCTTTATCTCTTATCTGCCATACACATTCAGCAACTAACGAAACAAAGTTGTCGTAGGTCTTAAATTCTTCAGATTTATATATGTCAGAGATGTTCTTATATACCATGTCGCAATCTTTGTCCATAACCTTATGGTTGCAATGAAATCCTAGAAACTCACAGTTTACCTTTCGTATGAACTTCTTTATTTCTACTGAGTCAGTTGCTTTGACTTCAATTTCATCGAATTCAGGAATAGTGAGTTTTTGTTGTTGGATTTCAGGCAATTTGGGTAAATGGTCGATGAGGTCCTGCATTTCATAAAGATACTGTTCATTTTCTTCATCTTTCGCACTACAGTCTAAATTACTTGTTAAAAGTTCTTGCTTTATCTTCTGGATTTTTGTTTCGAAAGTATATGAAGAAGGAATGAAGCTTTTCATCTCTACTAACATTGACGTAGGATTCATAACTAACGAGTTTGGTGCTGTTGTTTGAATTGTTGTTGTTGTGCCGATTGTTGACATTTTTTATTTTTTTATACAAAATAAAAAAAATAAAAAAAATAAAACTAACTTTATTTTTTATTTCGGGAAAATTCATGAAAATTCAAGAGGTTAGAAAACATGTTAGAAAACATGTTAGATCTAACATTCTAACATAAACATTATTTTTTGGTGTAAATTTCCTAAACTGACTGACTGACGGCACAAAGTGGCATAACGAAAACATTTACGAAGAAGTCTTGACAAAGCATGTACGAGGAAATCATGAAAATTCAAGAGGTTAGAAAACATGTTAGAAAACATGTTAGATCTAACATTCTAACATAAACTTTATTTTTTGGTGTAAATTTCCTAAACTGACTGACTGACTGACAAAACATGTACGTTCATGTTTGACAAAACATTTACGAAGAAGTCTTGACAAAACATTTACGAAGAAGTCATGAAAATTCAAGAGGTTAGAAAACATGTTAGAAAACATGTTAGATCTAACATTCTAACATAAACATTATTTTTGTCTGATTTACGCTCATGTTTGACAAAGCATGTACGAAGAAGTCTTGACAAAACATGTACGTTCATGTTTGACAAAACATTTACGATGAAATCATGACAATACATTTACGATGAAATCATGACAAAACATGTACGAAGAAGTCTTGACAAAGCATGTACGAAGAAGTCTTGACAAAACATTTACGAAGAAGTCATGACAAAACATTTACGAAGAAGTCATGACAAAACATTTACGATGAAATCATGACAAAACATTTACGATGAAATCATGACAAAACATTTACGATGAAATCATGACAAAACATTTACGAAGAAGTCATGACAAAACATTTACGATGAAATCATGACACTTTTTCATTAGATAACTGTTATTTTTTGACGAAGTGAAGAGTAACACTTCGTCAAAAAAATCCCTGAAATCATATCTTTTATACAAAAAATACAAAAAATGACACTTTTTCATTAGATAACTGTTATTTTTTGACGAAGTGAAGAGTAACACTTCGTCAAAAAAATCCCTGAAATCATATCTTTTATACAAAAAAATACAAAAAATGACACTTTTTCATTAGATAACTGTTATTTTTTGACGAAGTGAAGAGTAACACTTTGTCAAAAAAATCCCTGAAATCATGTCTTTTATACAAAAAAATACAAAAAATGACACTTTTTCATTAGATAACTGTTATTTTTTGACGAAGTGAAGAGTAACACTTCGTCAAAAAAATCCCTGAAATCATATCTAACATACAAAAAATACAAAAAAATGACACTAACTTTATTTTTTCTATCTTTCACAAAAGACCAAAAATAAACGCTTTACATGTATTTTTCAGCAACTTCGTCAAATAATTTTATAGCTTTATCTATCTCATCTACTTCAAACGTTTCTTTACCTTTCGTGGGAGCACCATACATTTTCTCAAACTTTTCAAGTAGTTCTGTTTCAGCAGCTCTCATATCATTAACGAACACAACCTTGACTCTATTGACTGTACTGTCATATCTTTGAGTTATATTATATGTTCTTCCTATCTTATATCTCTTTGTATTGAAGTCCTTCGGTTTCTGAACGATGTAAAGTAAGCCTTCACTGCAACGTTCCGTATCGAATGAACCATAAGTTATGAAGTTATATCCAACAACTGGTCTAACCATAACAAAACTATTGGTATAAGACTTTTGTCTATAAGATATGCTCTTGTTCCATGAAATGCTACTGATATCATGAGCTCAGGATTTCTTGTCAAAATTTTCTGACTAGAAGCAATTCTAACCCAGTCCTGCGGTCTCTTTCCAGATGGAGATATAATGTCTGACAAAGAATATTTGTTGTATTTCTTTGAGTATCTTACGTTTAAATCACCTATTCTAACCAATTTGGTGTCATTGTCTATCTTTCTAACTGTTTCAAACGCAATGTTTGACATATATGTCTTTACATACAAAATAAAAAAAAATAAAAAAATAAAACTAACTTTATTTTTTCTATCTTAAGGAAATTCATGAAAATTCATGAGATTAGAAAACATGTTAGAAAACATGTTAGATCTAACATTCTAACATAAACTTTATTTTTGGGTCCTTTACACTCATTACGAAGAAGTCATGACAAAACATTTACGAAGAAGTCATGACAAAACATTTACGATGAAGTCTTGACAAAACATTTACGATGAAATCATGACAAAACATTTACGAAGAAGTCATGAAAATTCAAGAGGGTAGAAAAGAGGTTAGATCTAACCTTCTACCCTAAACATTATTTTTCAATACGTTTTCAGCACTTTTCCGTAGTTATATATGAAAGACAATTCGAGATAAAAGTCATAGTACAATGGAATAATATGTTGCACACCATTTGTTGTGAACCAAACTTGAAAGTCAGAGAAACTGTTACTAGGTGGTTCGTAGAATTTAGAAGCAAAGTCATAAAAGTCCTTACCAATACATAGAAAACTATTGTTGCTTGAACTGAAACTTGCATGACACATAACATTTTGAGGGTCAAACACGTTTCTATAAACTGTCAAATCTGCTGGTGGAAGTATAAATTTAAATGGACCATCTGGTGGTAATGGTTCGTTCTGGTTTAGTAACCGAAGAAATTGTGCCCAAGAACGTTTGTCTACTTTCCAAAATAAAAACTCTGTATCTCTTGGAGGGTTAATTTCAATCTTTTGAAATGAAACGGTGGAGTTCATCTTGTCATATTCTAGTTTCAGATAGTATGTTCCATTTAGTAAAGAGTCGTATTTTTCTTGAAATTCCCAATAATATTTGTTCATTTGAGTTTGAAAGTCATTTAGAGTTTTCTCAAGACTTTCGTCTGAACGAACTGTAAAGATTCTCATTTCGTCAAATTTGTCTATTAGACCATCAGAACCTTTATACTGCCCATGAAAATATACTGCGAACATAAATGCGTTAGTTCTATTTGAAAACAAAACTCTTCTAAATCCTATTGCCTTTGCATCTGAAGGACTTTGAAGCCAACGAATTGGATAGTCAAACCTGTATGCTCGGGATGAAATTTCTTCATCTGAAATAGTCCTACCAGCATTTGTAAAGATATAGTCTAACGGTTTTGTATCTGCTACTTTTGTTCTTTGTTTTTCAACCTGAAGCATTTAATATATGTAAAAATATATTGTTTTAAAATGGTATGCCATTTCATATTTCTCATCTAACAAACAAGTTTCCCAACGGTCTTCTCCAACAAACTCAGCGTACAGTTCAAATAAAATTTAAAAAATGTCACTTTTTAAAAAATAAATTTTTACTTCATGCAATGTTTAACACATCGAAAGGCATGTCCATAAGACGTTCTTCTTCTAACCTCTCTAGTCTGTTTGGATAATTGGCACGTGCTGTTTCCAAATCCATTTCGTAGGTCAGACCAGCCAGTTTGTCATAGACTTTTATGGGTCTTCCCTTCCTATATTTAAACTTCTTCGAAACTCTCCAACCATATCTTTGCAACTCTGCTTTTATTCTAGCAGATTTTCTATCCATTCTATATGGGGGCATTTTTATAAAAATAAAAAAATATTTTTTCTTTACTTTACATAACCGCCTGCTGCCATAAGTCTTTGACGCCAACCCATACCAGCTAATGAAGGTTGACTTGGTTTAGTTTCCAAACTAAACTTTGGTTTTGGTTTATCTTCAGTTTTTGGTTTTTCTTCTTCTATCGGTTTTTTGTCACTTTTCGGTTCCTCTGACTTTACCTCACCTGCAGGAACAGTTGTGTCGTCAACATCTTCATAAATATCATATGCCATTTGTTTTTGTTTTCCTTTCAACTTTTTGTGTTTGTTGTAAAGTTTAGAATATTTCGACTCTAAGTCAATGAGATGTTCTATAATGAACTGTTGGTCAGTGAAGTAAACTTTTCCATCTGTTGTCTCGAAAGCTCCTTCAGACTTCAATATTTTATTTGTGAGAGTCTGTTTCTTTTTTGAGATACTAGCCGTTCCATTTTTATGAAAAGTGACTTTGTAGTTAGGGTTTGTATTTCCAGACCTGGCACTTTCTATTATTGAATTTTTCTCTTCATCTGTAAGTTCTTTGACAGTTTGACAATGGTTCTGAACTTTTTGTTTGTGGTGTCATCTACCGTTTCAACTTCTTCGGTCATTTCATCTCAGTAAAAATTTTAGTTTGGTTTGTTTTCAACTGGTTGTTTAGGTTTTTTAAGTCGGTCTAAAACTTCCTGAGGTATAGGAAGAACTTGACAAACACGTGTGTAACTGCTGGAAGCCGACAAATCCATCTTGAACCCATTTGTCTCAATGCTGTATTGTTCATTTCATCTCAGTAAAAAACTTTACATTCCCCACGTTTGAGGCGGTTGAGGTTGGTTATGTTTACCCATTTGTGCATGGTTATATCCTCTGTTAAAGAATCTTTCACCTTGGTCCATATAGTGTCCTGCTTGGTTATAGTAGTCATTTGCTTTGTTATAATAGTTTCCTGCTTGTCTTCCTACATTGTCCATCCATCCTTGAACTTTTCCTCTTGTTTCAGGATTTGGAATAAGATTTGTTGCATCTCGTGCTACATCCCAACCTTTCTGTACAGTTTGTATAATAGGTTGTGCTTTCTCTTTAAGTATACCTAATGTACTCAAAATCTTCCTTCCAACTCCAAATACACCTCTGGCTATTGTTCCCACTGCGGGCAAAAATCTGGATGCAACTCCTGCTAATGCGCCAAATAAACCCATTTCTTTATAGGATAAAAAATGACGAATCCAAACAAGGACCCCTATGTTTCTAAAGCGACAAAGAAAGCACTCATGATAAAAATCTTTAGTTCAACACCAAATGCTTGGTTTATGGATATCTTGGAAAACATTCCGAGAGTTAGAACAGATGGACCACCATACTGGCTAATATTTGTCGGTCAAAACACAAGATACTGTGAAGCCATACCATTATGGTCCAAAAATATTTTAGATGTGAAAACTGCTTTGACAATATTCGTTGACAAATACCATCCAACAAAAACTGACATCTGACTGTGAAAGTTCTTTCAAATCAGATGATGTAAAAACTATCTGCGTTCAAAAAATGTAACCCAATATTTCATTGTCGACCAAAACCATTCTGCTCTTGGTGTCATTGACGGTTGTATAAAAATGTTAAGAGACTTAAACCAACCACAAGGTGGTGAAGCAAATGAAATGTCATATGACGACAAATATAGACACTTCTCCATGGCAAAGATGAGACAAGTTTTAAATATTTACAATAACCGTAAACAAAAAGGTTTGGGAAACCACTCCCCCGAAGAAATGAAAAACAACCCTGACTTAGAGAAAGACTATATATTTAATAATTTAGTCAAAAGAGACAAACAAGAAAGAATGCCGGGCTTCAAACTCCAGAAAGGTGACAAAGTAAAAATAGAAATACCTAAACGCGACCCATATGAAAATACTATTGACTATGACAACAATGGGAACCCGACAGGTACTCACATTCGTGTTCGTAAAAATAGAAGAAAGTATACAAGAGAATATTATGAAGTTTTAGGCAAACATGGCAAAATGTACAGACTGCAAGCAGAAGATAAAACTACTATTGCCAGACCTCGTTTCAAACTTGTCAAAGTTCAAGGTGGTATACTTTCAAAGACAGTTCCTAACAAATATAAGACAACTCCTGACGAATATGCTAAAGAAGTTGAAAATGACGACTAAGCAATTCTATACCATGCGTAAACTGTCATGTAAGGTGGCATGTAGTCTTTACTTTGTCCCGTTGTTTGCGTATATCCTGAAACGCGATGTGTATGGTATCCTCCTCCCTCAGTGTTATTCCAGTAACAATTTATAGCAAACTTAACGTCCTCTTTAACATCATATCCTTTACCTTTTGTCATTCCTGACCAATCCCAAAATCTATGACTATGCAAACCTGATTCAGATGTACTTAAATCTATGTAGTGACTGTGTGCAGGTAAATTTTCACCTGAAATCGTTTTACTTCCACCTGTTTCCTTTGAAGAGTTTGCACAATACAAAAACCTGTCGACTATTTGAGTCTAAGTTCCAAAACCCAGAACTGTTTCTGGTCTGGTAGAGTTCATTGAAACATATAGTGAGCCAACCGGGTAAATAAGATTCGGCAAAATTTGTTTAAGCACATTGAGTTCCTGTCTTAGATGCATAATACTATTGTCATTAGATATCAAAGTATCTACAAGACTTGTTGCCGGTGGTATTGTTGGACCTTTACTTGGCAAGGTTGTGTTTAGTGTAATATCATCTGCTGTAAAAGTTGTAAAACTTGTATGTGTATGAGTCTTATCTGCTTTCTTCTCTAACTTACTAGCCACATATTCCTTATCCGCTTTCTTTTCAAGGCTAACGTTTAAGTCTGTTATTTCAGATATAGAATGTGTATGTCCAACGGCACTTTTCCTGTTTAAGGTTTCTTGTAAGTTTGTAATATTTGCAATGGTATGTGTATGTCCAACGGCACTTTTACTGTTTAAGGTTTCTTGTAAGTCTGTTATTTCAGATATAGAATGTGTATGAGTCTTTTTAGAATATTCGTTTTCAGCTCTCGTCACTTCACTTGACATTTTATTGTCAACATATGTTTTGTCTGCTAGTTCAGGATGAGTATGTTCTTTTGTTGCATAAGCATTGTTAGCTCTTTCTTCTTCTTTTGCTATTGCATCGTCTACATATTCTTTGTCAGCTTTGTTGTCAACATCTGCTTTCAAAAGAAGTTCATTTATAGGTTTCTCGTTTAAAGTTCCTTTTGTTGGATTTATACAGACAGTATTGTTCTTCTTGTCTTGAAATAGAAACTCATCTGTCATTGGGTTTAATGTCAGTTTTAAGTTTCCTTCTTTCAATGACTCAGATATCTTAGAATAGTTTGAAAAGTTTGTTGTGTTCTTATTTAGAGCTTGCATAATGAGTTGTCGGTTGTGTGTATTTCTCTCATGGAAGCAATATCTTTCGACATTTTTATTCTAGATAAAATATGCTTCCAATAGAAAAAGAAAATTCAAGAGTTGCTACAACTAAACCATTAGATGAACTTTTTACTAATGTCGGTCAAAAGTTTGAGACAGAGACCGTAAAGCATGAAGGCTATCGTTTTGACTACCCATTAAGATGGCTAAGAGACCCATCTGTCACAAAAGCTATTGGCTTTCGTAGAATGAAGTTCATTTCAGAAGCCATACATGGTTTCCCATTTACGGTCGGTTTTGAAGTTCGATACTATAACAAAGAAAAACGTATGTATGAGAAATTTGAACAGGGAAAACTTTTACAAGTTAGTTTGCTTGTAAACTTAGAAACAACTCTTCAAGCTTTTCAAGAAAAAATAAACGATATCTATATCGAATATGCAAACCAGTATAACATTGACGAAGGAGAGTACCATCTCGATATTATTTATGACAGGAAAAATGCAACTGTTAAAATCAATAGAATAGAAGACCTTGGAGAAAACGTTTATATTTCTACAAAATATAACAACTTGGCATGGTATAGATTTATGAGGATGTTAAATCAGCCTGCAGCATATCCAGTACACCCAGACTTTTATGAAGTCGAAAACCCTAATGGAACATATGAAAATGTTTTCGACCCAGCTGCTATTATTGTTCATGCTTCATTTTCTGGCGCCCAAAACTCTTTCTTATGCTTGGCAAATGACTTTTACGAAAAACCTACAAAGTTATACGAACCACCAAGTGGAAGTATTTCAGACTTTCAAGTATGGTTTACTACAGATGGAAGAAAAAGAATAATTCCATTATACCATGCGTTTTACTTAGAACTTAGTTTCATATACAACTACTATCGAACGGTAAAAATATAATTTTTTAATACGGTTGAGGTGTTGGATTTGGTTGCCAACTAGACTGTGGTGCAGGTTCAGGTTGTTGTATAACAGGAGCTTGTTCTTCTGGTTCAGGGTCTTTAGGTATAATACCAACGAACTGACCTACTCTTTTACCAATATTTTTGACACCGTTCCATACTCCTCTTCCTACGGTTTTTATTCCATTCCATATACCTCTTCCAACATTTCGAAAGAAGTTTCCTATCTTACTGAAGAAACCCATTTTACTATATGTAAAAATCTAATGTCCGCCTAGTCTCTTACGTTTCCTGTTGAGTTCCATAGCATTCTTTAACTGGAGCTCATACATTCTGTTTCTCCTCTGGTAGAAAACATATTCTGGGTCAACTCCTGTGTTCGCGTCATCTGCATAAAGTTGTTTATATCCCACTTCAGGGTTTGTATAAAACTCTTTCCATCTCATATTTGCATACCATGGTGGCAAACCTAACGCAGCGTCATTTGACATGGCAGTTTGCATTTGTACATCTGTTGGCACTTGACCATAGTTTGCCATTGCAGTTTGTATTCTAACTTCATTTGGAATATTCTCTGGGTTTGGTTGTCCAGGTTGCTGTGCATTCGCTAAGTTCTGTGCGTCCATTTAATATTAGATAAAAATATCTCTTACGAGTACATATACTGAACATTTGCAGGCATTGGTTCATCTTCATATTCTCTGTACTTTTCTGCCACGTCAAAGAAATAAATGACACAATGGAAAAAACCTAAAACAAGTAGTCCTATTTCAAACCACATTTACTTACTAATAAAATTTCTTTGTTATGACACTTTCTCCGGTTTATAGGACCTCTCTCATATTCTATCTTGTCATATCTAAACTCATAGTCATGTATGTCCTCTAACCATCTCATAACGGTTTCCAAACCACTTTTATCGGATGTAAAGTAAAAGCATGGATGGTTATGTAAAACGTCTAAAGTTTCTAAAGAGTCTCTCAAAGTCCAGTCTACTTGGTATTGAAAATCCCATGTGTTATAGAACGGCGGGTCCACTATAAAGAAAACATTTTCCTTGTCTTTATATTTTTCATACAACTCTGTCCAATAACATCTCACAAACTCTATACCCTCAATATATTTTTCTATGTCCTCTTTGAAAACATTTGTATAGTTAAGATATAAAACTTTTGACATAAGTGTTTCAATGTCATGAACTCTTATAGAACCACTATATAATAGTCTAGCAGATATACTATCCCAGTCTATATATTCTGCTTTTTTCAAAACCTCTCTCACAATATTTTTGTTATCTAATGGTATACGTTCCATCTTACCTATAGGTATCTTTTCTTTTAACTCTTTCAATATATTGTTTGTGTCTGGAATATGTTTGAGACGGTCCATATAGTTGTCGAAGTCATTGCATATAATCTTTGAGTCTGGGAATATTGTATGGCACAAATGGGATATATAGAAACTTCCACCGAACAAATCTACAAATGTTAGACCATTCGGTAGTTTCTTAAGTTCTCTCAATATAATATCTTTACATCTACTCTTATTTCCAAAGAACGGTAACGGTGGTTTTGTAAAATTCATTTATATATAATAATAAAAATGTTTTTACCCGAAAAGTGACAGAAAAGTGACAAAACATGAAAACATATATAATTTGTGAAAAGCGACACATTATATAATGTTTTCGACCCAGAAGAAGGCTTCTTCCCAGAAGCAATGGAGGAAGAAGAAGAGTCCTCCGAATTCACACCAGAAGACTAACAATTTTCCGAATAAAAACTTCATTTATACTAAACATCTTCGGGGCTAGAGGGCACGAAGTGCCTGGAAGCCCCACTACCTTTTTTTTTTTTTTTTTAGAATTGATCTAAGAATAATGAAATAACAAAAATTTGATGAAATTTTATCTTACAAAATAACATATTTAATGAAAATAGTAACAAAAATATAGTTATGGAATATTCATTAAAAATTCAAATAAGAATCTAATTTTTTTGAATATTTGTTGAGGAACAGATTGTAATCAATATTTTCCTTGTCAAAAATAGCCAGTTGTTTGAGCAATTCCCTAAAAAACGACTGAGAAAATGTAAAATCTTTTGAAATTTCGGAAAGAGAATCGTCGACGAGAACAAAAACATCTCTTCTTTCATCATAATGGCCATAATCAGCTATTTGCATCTTTAATGTATCATTTCTTGTGTCAAGATAGTCTAATTTTGCTCTAATTTCTCTGGCTTTTTCTTTAATTTTAGATCTAAGCATACGACATATGTTGGATAGCTCGTAAAGATCTGAGTTATGACTTGTATTTAGCTCAGTATTCATCAAAGAAAATTCATAAATCTTTTTCGCGTGTTCTTTGATCTGTTTTGCTAGGTATTTCTTCTTATTAGCTAAATACTCTAGTTCGTACTTAGTTGCATCAGCTTGTTTCAGAATTTTTTTGAGATCTTTTTCAAGATCTGTTTCATATTGGACTTTTGGAAGTTCCACAGGTTTATCTAATGAATCTAGTATAATCTGTTGCAGTTTTTGAGCTTCTTTTTGTTGTTCTTCGATATCTAATTCAATCATCTTGAGTTCTTTGCTCATTTTGATTTCTAAAGTGTTGTCATCAGTATTAGACTTTAATTTATATATTTTCTGTTCTATTTCATCAAGTTTCTTGGAAATATTTCCTTGATGTTCTATTTTTTGGGACAAATTCTCTAATTTCGTTTGGATCTTTGTTTGTTGATCTTGTGTTTCTTCCAGTTCCTTCTCTAATCTATCTGTTTTTTGAAAGATGCTGATTTTGGATTCTGTTAATGAATTCAAGAGATTGTTTGTAATTGGTGGTGCTCTTTTCCTTAATAGATCCAGTTGGAATGTCGTTGTTGAGATTTCTGAATTCAAATTTTGTAATTCAAGGTTTTTCTTCGAAATTTGATTGTTTTTGCTTCGTATTAAGTTATTAGCAACTTGTATCTGGCTATCAGCATTGTTGATCTCATTCTGTAATGCATTGTTTCTTTTTTCTTGAGTAGATATTAAAGATTCAAACTCAAACTTTGATTTTATTGGAGAACCATATGTATTTTCGTTTGATTTAGGTGAACTTTCTAATGATTCTTCATATTTTGCTTGTTTATCATGGATTTCTTTGTCTAAAATTGTTCTTGTTTGTTTTAAAATAGATAATTTTGATGTGATAAGTTCTTTTATATCATTTAATGACGAAATACTCTTCTGTGTAGCTAATATTTTGTCATTTAGACTTCGGATTTGATCTGGTAGTTCAATTGCTTGTAATTCAACTATATTTGATTGATCAGCTTGTTCTTTTGGTTCAAGAAGCGAATGATATTGTGTTTGGGTGCTTTTCAAGTGTATATTTAAATTATCACTAAGTTTTTGAAAGTTTTGAACATCTTTGTCGACAATTTCATATTTTCTCTGTAAAATGGAAAGTTTTTGCTCTAGCTGTTGTAATCTGTTGCTTTCATTAGATATTTCATCATTTAATTTTGAATCAGATTTTATGGATTTAGTATGCGATGTAGTTAACAACCCACTTTTTTCTTCGTTTTTCTGATTAATTTTCAGCGATAACTTTGCAATTGAATCAGATTTGATTTTTTCTTGTTTAATAAGCAATGATATTTGCTCTTGTAAGTCAAAAATCGATTCTTCAGTCGCATTAATGTATTCCAATTGGTCATTAATATGAGGAACTGGAGAATACATCAAAGAATAATCAAATCAAAAACGGATTCAATATAAAAATTGAAAATATAAAATAAATATCAATATACATTATGCTTTGAAATGTATAATCTTTTATTTTATAAAGTTATATTTTTATGGTAATTACAATTCGCCTCGTCTCTCCAAAGGTGACGAAGCGACTAAACCCTAATCTTGTGAGTGTCCTTCAAACATGGAAACGCAGCTATATTCCTCCATGGACATTTTTATTCCATTTTCTCGAAATTTTATGTATTATTTTTTATTGCTACGGTGTTATTTATCCAACAATCGATGGAGTATATCACACAAGAAAGCAATTAACAGATTTACTATTTCCAAAGCAAACAGATGATGCTCCATACGCATTTGTTGATGATATTTCAGATTATTTCGACGATTTTCTCGAAAACCTTGAAAATTTCACCAAAGGATCGTTTTCAAATATGGAATTTATCAATCAAACTCGCCCAGTTAAATTCCAAATCAATTGGGAAAATGGTTCAGAAATCAAATACAACCAAATAGATGTTAACTACGAACTATTTCGCCACGTATATTCAATAAGCGCCTTTACATCTTTCGTTATATACTCGAATGAAACCGATGTTATAGGTTGTACCCAGTGGGATATCAATGTTGCGATTTACAAGCCAGAAGGTGGATATGGCTTCATTCCAGATCCAAAAATTAGTTATAGCTCGTGTCCTTCGCACTACATTTCAGACAATAGAGAAGAAAGAAAAAGAATTTCTCGAAAAAGAATTTTTATTAAGCATAATGTAAGGAATTTCAGAGATGTCGAGATCAGATATGATCCAAATAGAGCAGCAACAGACAAAATTACTATTCAAAACGTTCTCGATTGCATTAAAAACAAAACATTAAATAAATACATTCCTCCTCCAATAGAACCGCCAAAGAAAACATTCAACAGAGGCACCTTGTCATTATACAATGTCATGCAGCGCTTCGGATTGATGTTTTTACTCATTTCCGGTATGGAATTTTATTTAGATTCGTTAAACATCTGGAAACTATTTTCCATACACAGAAAACGTCTTCTTGTTGATAGTATATACAAAGAATTGACTTTATTTGATCAATTCCATACAACAATTGGATTTTGGAATATATTTTTCTTCATTAAGAGCGTTTTAGTTGTTATCCTATCTCTAATAGTGATCAGTGATAGCTCCAAGATATCACAATACCCATCCCATCGCTCCATGCACATTTTCGGCGTCGCATCTTTTATTGCAACGTCATGTGCACTTAGATGGTTCATCCACTGGCCAAAAGTGTACCGTCTGACTCTTTTATTCGTCAATGGTATACGCAGAATCGTTATAAACCTCGCCAGCCAGTCAATTATCCTTCTTTCTTTGATGCTTGCAACTGTTTTTCTTTTCGGATTCGTTGCACAAAAAGCAGAATCATTTATTGACCTTTTGAAGCTGTTTATCTCCATGATCTTCGGAGATAGTTTGTATCCAACGTACACAGAGTTCAGTGATGGCTCTTTCGAATATAATTTGATGTCTTTCATTTTTAACTCTTTCTTGATCATGGTTTTGATTTGGATTTTCTTCACAGCGAATACAGCTATCATGACATGGGTCGACCACCATATTATTTCTCAGCTTACTCAATAAAATGTTTGTTTATTTATTAAGATTAAAAAATCTTTTTGTTTTGTTTGTTTTTTATTTTGTTTTGTTTTATTTGTGTTTTGTTTTATTTTGTTTTTTGTTTGTTTGTTTTATTTGTGTTTTGTTTGTGTTTCGTTTTGGTTTATTTTGTTGTTGTTGTTATATATATTAAAATATGTCTCAAAATACCAACTTACCTTTGACTTATTGATGAAAATCATACAGTAAATTATATGAGTTTCTCTTATAGAGAGAATAGCAGAAAGTGTCAAGTGTGCCATTAAAAAAGTGTGAAGATTTCTATAATCTGCTATAGTTTGAGTTATTGTAAAATTAATTTTTATTCAAAGTAGATTATTGGGCACCAATAGATATTAAATAATTTTTCACTTCTTCACGTGAAACATACAGTGAAGTCCTTCCAACATTATCTCTTGCTTGTTTATTAGCTCCAACAGAGATGAGATATTTAACGATTTCAAGATGGCCTTCAAATGATGCTTGAATGAGTGGAGTCCAACCATCATTATTCTTTGCTTCTTTATCAGCTCCAACAGAGATGAGATATTTAACAACTTCGAGATTACCATTATATGATGCTTGAATGAGGGGTGTCATTCCTTTATTATTCCTTGCGTCTATATCAGCTCCAACAGAAATAAGATATTTAACAACTTCAAGATGACCTCTAGCTGAAGCTTTAATGAGTGGAGTATCTCCCCATTTATCCTTTGCTTCTTTATCAGCACCGACAGAGACTAGATATTTAGCAATTTCTAGATGATCAACAAATTATGTACAAATGAGTGGAGTCATTTCATAAAAGCACTTTACTTCTTTATCAGCTCCAACTGAAATAAGATATTTAACAACTTCAAGTTTATTATATCTTGATGCAATCATGAGTGGTGTTTCTCGAGCATGATTCATCAATTCTATATCATAGTTACATTCGATGAGAGATTTGACCAAGTCGAGATTTCCTTTTTTACATGCATCTGAAAGTACATAAGTCATCATTCTCTTTTCCCTAAATTCTTCACAAGCTATTGCCATCATTTCATGATTTCTACTTGCCGAAAGTTCTTCAAAGAATTCATAAACACTTTGAAAGTTCCCCGAATTCTTAAGTTCTCCTATTTTGGCTGATATATCATTGTTCGAACAATTTATTTGGTTGGTTGTCGTTTCTTCTGCATTTTGTCTTTGAGTCTGGATAGAACTTAATTCTTCTTGAACCTGATTAATTCTTATCTTCAAAGATAAAATATGAAATCCGAAAATTCATGCATAGTTAAACAGATTTCACGGTATTAACATTTAAAGATACATTTATATAACTTAAATTTGATCAAAATTCAATTGAACATTTACATTGATTAATAAACAACTAATTTTAAATTTTAAAGCGTTAAGGGTGCACCCGTATGTACGTTTATTTGAGAGGAGGAGGATTGCCCTCTCAATTTTGAGGGATTCGTTAGTTTATTTTCTCGATGAATATGCAATAAAATTTGATTTTTACCTTATCAATATACTTCATATAATATACACATGTTCATGTAAAAACTTTTTTCCAAAATCCTCAGGAATTAAGGGATTTTTGAATTTTAAGAATTTTTTTCGAATTTTTTCGAAAAAAAAAATATTTTCAGAACAGCCTTAACGGCTAAGATTTAGGAACAATGTTAAGTATCAAAAAGAAAGGAGGTCTGATATAGACAACATATATCGTTGAAGGTTGAAAAAATCTCTAATATTTGAGCCCAAAATTTCAAATTTTAATTTTTTGAAAAAAGAGGCCACCCGTATGTACGTTTATTTGAGAGAGGAGGATTATATTTTTGAAAGGGTGAAACATTATGAATATGTTAATTATATAATAATATGTATTATTATAAAAAGAAAAAATAAAGCACGTTAAAATTTTTCTTTCTTGATTTTTTACAAAATCTACTTAGAATTATGCAAAATATGACTAAATAATTATAAATTTCAAGTTAAATTTTAATTTTGATAAATAATTTAAATTTCAAAATATCAAGTTCAGTTCGACTATGTATGTAGTAATTCCTCAATAAAGTGCCAAAACCCTATTAAAATATATGAACATTTTCAACATTTTAATTTTTTATTTAAAAATTTGATGGAATATGAGCTTCAAACAATTATTATGTAAATAAAAATAATTAAATATATGTATTTATTCGTATTACAACCGTAGTAAGTCGATTCTTCCTTTCTTCTACTGAGTTTTGAATTTGATTTCGAATTGTAAAGAGATTCAAAGGGAAAATACTAGCGGATAAAAACTACCTCCATGAAAGGGTCATAATGGACTCAAGTTGTATTTTTTGATATTTTTTGCTTTTCGAGCCTAAATAGGTAGCCAAGATAATGCCTAAAAATAAGGTTCTAAATTCTGAAGTTTACATGATCCTCTCGTGTGCACCCTTAAAGTCAGAGATGCAATAATTTATAATAATTATTTGAATCCAAAAAAACCTAGATAATTTCTCACACTATCTATTGCAACTGAGAATACTGTTTTTCCTTCATTATTCATGACACTTTTATCAGCTCCCTGAGCGACTAGATATTTAACAACTTTATGACGACCTTTAATTGATGCACATTTTAATGGAGTATATTCATCATTATTCTTTGCCTCTTTATTAGCTCCAACAGAGACAAGATAATGAACAACTTCAAGATGACCATTTCCTGCTGCAAAAATGAGTGGAGTATATCCATATTTATTCTTTGCTTCTATATCTGCCCCAATTGAAATAAGAAATTTCACAACATCCAAATGACCATAACATGATGCAATAATGAGTGGAGTAAGACCAAATTTTGTTCGTGACTCTTTATCACAGCCACAGAAAATGAGAGATTTGACAAGATGAATTATCCCATTGCGGCATGCAAGATGCAGTATGTTACTTGTATCACATGATTTCTTTTTCCAAAGTCCTTCTTCACAAGCTTTTTTCATCATTTCACGATTTCTGCTTGCCGAAAGTTCTTCAAAGAATTCGTAAACACTTCGATGGTCGCCACAGTTCTTAAGTTCTGCAATTTTAACTAGGATATCATTTGAACTATTGTGGTTTCCATTAATTTGATTGGTTGCTGTTTCTTCGTCTGTGCTTTGCCCGTGAGTCTGAACCTCAATATATTCGCAATTCTGATTAATACCTTGACTCATTTTTGAAATGGAGGAACTTTAAATAACCCAATAAAAATAAAAATCTCCAATAAACGCCTTCACAATTTTGAGAGAACTCTCGATTTTTGGGATAGCTTTGTAGCACCCATATCTCGCTATATAAAAAACTCAAGAGGATAAATAATTTTTTTGAAAGGAAATAATTTTTGAGACTTTTACAAATTTCTTTTGTTATTGGATAGTAAATTGAGTGATATAGAATTCAATGTAGCCAATATATGTTGTTATAGCATTTAAAGTTATTAAAGAACATGTTTTTATACAAAAATATAAAGAGTACACGTTAGATTTTCAATACAATTCAAAAATTGAACGCCAAAATGAGATTTTATCTGTATCGTCTTTATTTTGAATCGATTATTTGGAGCTTCTATGAGACACATAAATATGGTCTAGATGTAGGATAAATCATGAGATATTGGTCTTACTATATAATTTTATTTATGACGATAAATACTGTTTACTCATCCTGCAGACCCTTAAAACTGCTTGAATTCTATTCGAATTAAAATTTCTTGCTGCAATCACAAAAATAATATGATCCTATCATTGATACATCAATTTTGCTTTGAGTAGGGGTAATTTTAGATAAAAGTGACACACCCGTGAAGGGTGTGATTACCGATCGGTAATTTCGACAGTTTAGAATTTAAAATTTTTTAATGAACTGTTGCGAGTTTCATAAAGAATTTAAGGAATATAAGCAAAGATTTGAATCAAAATCTTAGACCTAAGCCGCTCGATTCGCTCGCGGCTTCCGCGAATTACAGATCAGCAAAGATTTGAATCAAAATCTTCGAACTAAGCCGATCGCTTCGCTCGCGGCTTTCTTTATTATTTTAAATTTGCATATTTCCATCAAAAGTTCATAAGGTAAAAAATTTCGTTTATTTTTACTAAGAAAAAAAAGGTTTTTGATAATAAATTTATTTTATTTCGAAAAAGTAGCAATAATCGTAAAAGGGTATTGATAGGCTTGCTAAAGTAACTAATTTTAGCTGTCAAATACTTTTGTATTTTGAAGTAAATTAGTATAAATTTGTTTTTACTTTTATTTCGAAAAAGTAACAATAATCGTAAAAGGGTATTGATAGGCTTGCTAAAGTAACTAATTTTAGCTGTCAAATACTTTTGTATTTTGAAGTAAATTAGTATAAATTTGTTTTTACTTTTATTTCGAAAAAGTAACAATAATCGTAAAAGGGTATTGATAGGCTTGCTAAAGTAACTAATTTTAGCTGTCAAATACTTTTGTATTTTGAAGTAAATTAGTATAAATTTGATATTATTTTAACTCCCTTTGAAAACCTCAATTTTCCATACAGAGGGAACGGGAATAGCATCCAATATTCCCTGAGAATGGTTGCGCATTCTCAGTTCCCTCTATATTTCGAACGAAGCTCTCATCGGTCTTTTTTTTAATACTCAACGTTTTTTTTTCCCTGTCACTTTTAGCTAAAATTTGGGTTTGCCATTTTGCTTTGAAATCATTTTGTTGTCTTGACATTTCCTTTCTTTTTTATGTGCGAGAAACCACTGTCTCGGTTATTTCATGAGTATTGTGAATTGTCTTATCAGAGATTCATTAAAATAAAAAATGAAATTTCCTAATTCATTCAGAGAAAAACAGTATTTTACTCGAGAACCAGATTTCATGGTATTATAACTTAAAGATTCAAATATATATTGATCAAATAACGAACTTATTCAAAATGCTATTATAACTTAAATATTTCATTTAAAAAACTATCAATGTTTAAGATGCATTTAAATTTATTACGACTCCTCAATAATAGAATATGAAATTATCAATAAATAAAAAATAAAATAATAAATTTTTTTTTGATATAAGATAATAATTTTTGTATCTTAATATTCATTATCAATTGCTAAAATGCATGTATGCTATGTTTTTATTTGAAAATAAAGAGTTTTCAACGAAAACATAAATTGTTAAGTAAAACATTCAAAATCATTTAATTTTGACTACTATATTATACTATTTCCGCTATAAAGATATGTGTTTGAACATCCGTAGAGTAGGTGACAAAAGTGCATACTCTTAAACAACCGTCGGATTTCCAGGTGAAATCGTGACACACTTTCGTCTTTCGTAGGCAGTGGTGGTTGTTACAAAAGGTAACTTCGAATGTAGCGTGAAATCTGCAAAAAAAATTCTGAAATTTGAATGGAGAACACAAAAATTGAATAGTTTACGTCAATAAAAAAGAGAAAAATGAAGCCAATGTGTCTCGAACCTAGGACTTAGAGCAGCAATCCCACTGTTTATCCCATTACACTACATGCATCTCTCACCTAAGTGAATGAGATCAAATATATGATAACCTTTTCCCCATTATATTCTTGTGGAAAAGTGACAAATAGCAACTTTGACCCTCTCTCGTAAAACATTCAAAATCATTTAATTTTGACTACTATATTATACTATTTCCGCTATAAAGATATGTGTTTGAACATCCGTAAGTGTTGGAACGGAACAGGTTGATAAGACATATGAAAATGAAATAAAATTTTGACACATGGTATAAGACACTTTATGCAATTTCATTTTTCATTGTTTTATGCCACCATGTGTAATAAGCAAATTGTTTTACAAAACACTTCTTCTGACATTTTATAGTTTGCTATCAAAAATTCAACGCAATCAATTTCAATTCATAAAATTTTTGATGGTAGTTGGATAGTCTTTTAAATTTTATGATTTCTCATTTTTATAAAATCCCGTCTTAATTCAAATTTTGATTGTTTCATTCAGTCAAATTAAATTTAACATCTCATTTTTCAGAATGGAAGGTAATTTAACTGTTAACATCCATTATTTAAGATCATGCAACTATCACTGCAAGTTCTGCTTCCACAGAGGCATTGAGAATTCTTCAACTTTAAAACTTGAAGAATGGCATAAAATCATTGATACAATTGCCAAATCCGGGTTAGTCAAGAGGATAAACTTCGCAGGAGGCGAGCCATTTATGCTTAGAAAGCATATTGTTGACTTGATTCGCTATGCCAAGAAATCGGGAGTAGAAGTGTCAGTAATCACCAATGCATCCTTATTGACAGAGAATGTCTTTAATCTAGTTAAAAACGATTTAGACATGCTTGGTGTTTCCTGTGACTCAGGAAATGATGAGATCAATAAGCAGATAGGAAGAGCAGAGCGTGATAATGATGAGCAATTGCCACATACTGTCATTATCAGAAGAGCTGCAAACATGGCGAAATTCTCCAACAAATATTTCAAGGTGAATACTGTAATTTGTCGTGAGAACTTACATGACAACTCAATTTTCCAGCTTATTAATGAAATCCAGCCAAACAGATGGAAAGTTTTCAGAGTCCTCAAGATTGAAAATGAAAATGGATGTTTCAAGGACGAAAGACCACCATACACAGGTTATATTACCGATGAGGAATGGAAGGCATGGATCGAGAGATGCAAAGAGTTATGCCAAATTAAGCCTGTTTTGGAAGACAACGATGATATGCAAACATCGTACATCCAGGTTGATGAAGAAGGTTATCTCCTTGATTCTTCATCAGGAAGCAAAGTTAGAAAGGCTAATCTCCTCGAGGTTAGCTTCAAGCAAGCTATGACTGGTCTCGGATTTGACCAAAAGAAGTTTTACAAGCGTGGTGGATTATTCCATATCACCAATGCTAATTATGAGCTTTAATTTGTTCTGTATTTATGCGATAGAATAAATTTAGGTTATATTTAACTCTTCTGAAGAAGTTTTTGATTAATCCTTTATAAGAAAAAGAACTCGAAAAGAAATGATGATGTTATCCATACGATAAGATATCATATGGCATTAAGAAAAGTTCGAATTGGAGAGAGATTATTATATAAAGCAATGTTAGAATTTAAAAGAAATAGAAAGAATAATGAGTTAACAGTTAACATCAGCGACATTTGAACCAGCTCTAATTGCAATATTAAAAAAGCATCAATTTATAGATTTTGAATAGGGTTTTGCAAACTGGCACGAGTTTCGAGGATTCGTGCCAGTTACGGGCGTAAAATTGAATGGACAAAGGGCAAAAAAGGGAAATTTTTGCAACATTGTGCCACTTTACGTGCCACTTTGCAAAACCCTAATTTTGAATAACATAAACTAATAATGCAAATCAATGATATACTTGAAAAATTGCGGATTCTATCAAGTATGAACGTAGCATAAAAGATAATCATTCTCTGTATTATAATAGCACTCATCATTCTTTATTTTTGTTTGTTGATTTGTAAAATTCGTTTGATATCTTGCAAATTACAACCTTTTATGAAAAATCACTAAAAAAGTACAATTCCACTTTGAGGAACACTAATTCTTGTATTTCATTTGGCTTAATGTTATCATAATCCTGACCAAGAGTACTTGCAGACGTTTCAAAAATTTTGACTTCATTACGACTTTTTTTAGATCAAAAAGTGCCAAGGTAATGCTATAACAATCAAATCATATAGTTCAAATTCCATTTTTAAATGCTGTAATTGAATTTTTGTAGAAATTTCTTGGTATTCAATTAGATATTTTTCATTTTGAAATTTCCAAATTACTTTAGTTATTTTCTATTCATAAATATCTGTAATATTGTTTTATTCGAATTAATTTATTACAATTATTAGAATTATTCCAATGAAATGTTATTTTTACATTAAATTTGCTTTTCAAAGCGCATAATACATGAAATAGTATAATGTAGTATTAGTCTAGTTCATCTACATGACTTATTTTAAGTTGCCAAATAATTCAATGTTGGCAAGTGTGAAACAGTTGGATCCGAAGGAATTCTTGCCTGTCATTGTAAACCTAACGATACTGAATTGACCTGTTGGTTGGATAACTTTTGAAAATGTCTTGTTTGAGTTATTTAATTCATCAGTTTCGGTAACTTGATCAACTTGGCGGTAATCAACGCCATCATTAGAAACTTCAACTTTCCATGATCTTGGGTGTGTACTTCCCTTGCCTCCTTGAAATGTCTTTAACGTGTAGCCATGTAATTCAACTTTTTTGGTAGCAAAAGTAATTTCAATCCATGAGTTATCTTCGTTTTCTGATGTCCACTCGTTGTCATTTGAAGGACCAACAACATCCATTGGATCAGCAAAGCAACGAACTGATTTTGATGAAACCTTTACTTTAACTTCGTTTCCGACTTTACCACCATTAGCTTTTCTCATAGCAGCAAAAATACCATTTAATGGTGCTTCCTTCTTCAATGGATATGCTACAGAACTTCCACCTCCCATAGAAAGTGATTTTTTGCCAATTTTTCAGAGAGTGATGTAACCATAATAAAATAAATCTTTTCAGAAATCATTTGAGAATTATTGCCATAAAGGAATTTTATAAAAAATCTGAAATTTCACAAAATGACATCAATCTGGTTTCGGATTCAACGACCATAAATATCATGGTTCTGTTTCATATCCAATGCACTATAGAATTCAGATTACTTTTGCATAAACCGACTCATATCAAATCTTATTGTCCAGCACATTATGCAAGATGAGACCATCATCATTGCATAACATATCAAACACTACATGCTAAATCTAAATCCTTGACCACTAGTTCATTTTTTAATCATGAACGAAGATGATGATATGATGAAGGATCTTTTAAAGCTGGAATACGAAGCAAAACTAATAGATAAAGCAGAAAATCAGTTTATAAAGAAGGAAGAATCTACAGTTGTTGGACAGCAAGAGAGTACAAATACATTTGCAGAAAGATTTCAGAAAAGGCAAGAATTTAAGAAGAAAATTAGAGACAGTACAAAAGTATCTCCCACATTCTTACGAGAAGATGCTGGAAAAGTTTGGAATGATGCATCACTTTCTGAATGGCCAGAAAATGACTACAGAATTATGGTTCTTGGACTGCACCAGGCTTGCACTGATGATAAACTCTATGATGCATTTAAACACTATAAATCAATTGTTAAAGCTCATGTTGTCCACGATACCTCAAATAGAGGTAAGCATTATGGATTTGTGTCCTTAATGGATGTCAATGATTATATTAAAGCCATGAAAGAAATGGATGGTGGCTTTGTCGAAAATGCTAAAGTACATTTACAGCCATCCAAATGGAAAGACAAGTCTTTAAAGAAATAAAAATTGTTTGTATCATTAAAATTGAATTAATTTATATTATAACAGAAAATATATTTTATTATCTTTCGAAATCATTAGTTATTAAGAGAAAATAAAATAATTGATAGAATTCAGTATAAATACAATCTTTTTAATGACATTATCAATACATAAATAATTTTTTTTTATCCTCTTCGAGCAATTTGTTCTTTCATGATACTAATCATCTGAGCATCAGTTGCATTGTCTGGTAGACCGAAGTGTCTCCTGATTGCTTCTCTTAAACCTTCAGGATTTGTAGTCTTTTTATCAACTTCAATATCAGCGGCATTCTGTTCTAAAGCAACTGAATATTCTTGAAGCATTGCGTTGTATGCATCTAGTGATGGCTTCGAGATCTTCGTAGTTAAGTCGATATCGATTGGTTCTGGATTATTATTGGAAAATTTGGATGATTGTTTGTTTTTACGATCCTCTTTCACATTTTGTTCGTGTTGTAATGATTGTAATTCTTCTTTCATCATTTGAATAATATCTCGTTGTTTTTGCAATTGTTCGTCTAAGAAATCGCTCTTAGACTTCTTCTGTTTAGATTTCTGTGCGGGGGTTTCGTTGAAAATGTTATCTATGAACTGTATAATATCTTCATCTTTCCATCTTAAAATTGTAAGAATTCTAACAACTCTTACTGAAAGAGGATCATTTTGCTGGCGAGTGGCATCAACATCAAGCTGATTTAATGAGCGAGGAAGTCCAGCATAAATCCAGCCGTTAATTAAGGCATCTGTAAAGCTTTCGACGTACATATTTAATTCCTGTTGAGGCATTTTATTTGCATCTCCACCTTTGTAATATGTTGCAAGAGTCTTTGCACTTACTTCTGAAAATTCATTTGGTGTTACTTTGATTCCGTTAATTATTTCAATTTTAGGACCAAGAACGAGTATAGCAAGTTGTCTAAAATTCGGGAGCATACTTAATGGCGATCCTGCTGCTGAAAAAGAAGTAATATTTGTATTGCGAGGGAAATTTCTAAAGGAAACTAAAGGATTATTATCAAAAACTACACCACGAATATTTCCTTTGGGTTCAAAACCGGTGAAATCTGTTAAAAGATTGTTGCTAGCGTCAAATGAAATTGCTGCATCAGGAATTTCAATATCATTGAGATCTCTGAGGCGCATATTTGATACTGGGAATAATTTGTAGTTAATCATCGAGTCAAGCTGTGTTTTTGTAAATCGGGACTTGGATTCCGACATTTTTCTCTAAAATTTCTAAACTGAATTTGAATTTCTCCATTATTGCTTATTAAAATTGGTCATTTTCTTACATTTTTGTATTATTGAAGCTATGTATAGTTATTTTATTTATCTATTTTTTAATTTAATGTCGAATTTAATGAGATTAAAATCAATTATTAAAATGGTGGCTCATGAGTCATCGGCATATATTTCATTAGCATCAATTCTTAAATATATAAGTTCAAAATCTGTTAATGAAATAGTTTACTTAAATTTTGATATAATTTTTAGGTAAGGAATACTTCGAACATGAAACGAAATATTTAATATCAAGTAACATGCAATTTGAAGTATATTAAACAATGTTTATGGTATAAATTAGCAACTCTATCAACAAAATAATAATAAAAAAGAACCCGTAAAATTTAGAGATTGACATTATCAGGTTTGTCAATTCCCTTAACTATTCCAGCAATCTCTTCTGGGCTCATGTATACAACAGGCGAATTTGGTTTCATAATCGCGACCTCCATATTTTTCGGTCTGCAATCAGCAATTTCTCTAAGAGAACCAATTGTAATACGTTTTACATCATCTTCCGATAAATTATCGACGTAGTACTTTTCAATGTATTCTTGTACTGGATGACCAAAGCGTCCAATTCCTCTTGCTTTCCATTCACTAAGTATACCACTTGGCAATGTTTCATATATATGTGGTTTATCCAAAGGATCAAAACCGCAAATTAAAGTAGTTACACCAAACGGTCGAACGCCACCGCTTTGAGTGTACGTTAATTGTACAGTTGCAATATATCTTGCTATATTTTCTATTGGTATTGCGTCTTCAAATGTAAGGCGATACGATTGTGCTTCGAATTGAGCTTTTTCGACTAATACACGAGCATCTGCTGGCAAGCCAGTAAATGCACATAATATATGCTTATCGAGTAGGCACATATTGTTTGAAGAATCTTGTTTTTGAAGTTTCATCATATCCCGCTTTTCAATCGCTGCGACAATAATTCCCGGAGCTTGGATAGCAAGAACTGTGGTACCATTATGAGCAGCCGCAGCTGCATATTCTATTTGAAATAATCTTCCATCTGAGCTAAATCGAGTTAAAGCTCGATCATATGACATTTTGAAATTATTTTTGGACACATCTCAAAAAGGCACATCATTTTGATGTCCTATCTTCATCTATTGATAATATTACTGGAAATGAGGTCTAAAAAATGGATGGATAACTGTTTTTAGCTCAAAACAATTTGGGTTTAACGAAATTATAATTATTCGGTTAATGGCAATGATAAATTATGAAACACTATAACATATACAATATGAGAATCATGAATTTATGGCATTCTATGCTTAACGTACATTCTCCTATTCCTTATTCGCAGATGGAAAGATGAATATGATTATTAGAAAACAAGTAATATAAAACATACAGCTTTAGTTGAAAGAAATATAGTTATGGTGAAAGGAAATTTAGATAAGATCGGCATAATCATCTCTTTGGCAAGCAATTTCATTATATTTGAATTCTAGGAATTCTTCATGCTTTCTGAGTTGTTCTTGTCTTTCTTTGTAAACGGCATTGATTTCTTTTTCATCAATCTTATTTTGCTTTTCAATTTTTTGTTTCTGTTCACTGAGTTTTCTGTTTTCTTCCTTAAGTTTGAGAGTTCTTTCTTTTTCGGCTTTTAGTGATTTACGAAGTTGTTCTATTTCAGCTTTTGCATTGATAATTTGTAATTCTATTTGAGTAACTTCAGCCTTCTTCTTACTAATTTGTTCTTTAATATCAGCTTCTTGTTGTGGAGTTGTTGATCTTTCTTGTCTTGTAATTTTCATTGATTGCGATGTAGGTGTTGCAGATCTCTTACCTTTAGCAAGAGTTAAAAAGTTCTCTTCCTTCATTGAAGGAACTTTTTTGATTTGAGTTATTGGGGACTTTGATCTTGGAAGTGATTTTGTTTTATCATCATTAATTTTATTGGCTAATGGAGCATTTTCAATTCCTCTGCATGTCTTAGCCTTTTTCTCGTTGCTTTTTGTTACACTTGCAAAGACTTCCTGAAAGATGTTCATATAGAGAGCGAAATTTATGAAATTAATAAACGTACATAAATCGCAAAGAATTTATTTCATTTGAAGATATTTGTAGTTCATTTGTAGTATGAAGATCACTCATATGAGTGGAAGCTATAAATACCAAAAAATTCATTTTATATATGAATGAATTCAATTTGGAATTAGATAACGGAATGACTAGAGACAACAATGAGCAGTTACATCTATATTTACAAGTAGTTCAGAGATATCTAGATTGTATATATAAATACCATGGAATCGCAAAATTTTTGAATACAAATACGATGTTAAGATTTTTCTATTATCTAATAAGAAAGAGAAAATATGGTATATAGAATTATTTACGAATTTAACTTTAAACAATAGATTAAATGAATCAAATATTTAATAGAATAGTGTTCTTTATCAATCCTTGATTAGTCACACTTTTCTACATGAAATATATAAGATACTTCATTGAATATCTTTTTGACAAACATTCCTTATTGATTGAATCAATTTGAGGTCAATTTTCAAATTCAAGCAACACAATATCGAGAAAAATTCATTCATATCTTATGGATAATTGATATATGTTAGAATTGCTATGTTTTTATACAAAATCTTCATAAAAAGTGACAAGAAAGACAAAATCTTTGGATGACTGAAGAAGCACAACAAAACCCAGAACAAACCGAGCAAAAAACAGAGCAAACAGTAACTGTAGAAGAAATTACAGAAGGTTTATTCTCAGAATCAACAATTGATGCCTTCGAACTCAATCCAAGATTAATTTCTGCTCTTAAGAAGATGAAAATCGACAAATTCACAAATATTCAGACAGAGTCAATCCCACCAATCATTTCTGGCAGTGATGTACTTATGCGTGCCGATACAGGTTCCGGAAAAACACTTGCATATTTACTTCCAATCATGCATAGGCTTGCAACAGACTTTCCAAGAGATACAAACCCGATTAGAAGAGATATGGGATGCCTTGCTATTGTCATTGCGCCAACAAGAGAACTTTGTCTCCAAATTGAAACCGTTGTTCAGGATCTTCGTTCTCAAATGAACTTTGTTATCAGTGGTTCATTACTTGGTGGTGAAAAAGTCCAATCAGAGAAGAAGCGCCTTAGAAAAGGAATCAATCTTTTGATAGCAACTCCAGGAAGACTTTTATACCATCTTCAGAACTCGCAAAACCTCTACGTTAACAATCTTAAGTTCTTAGTACTCGATGAAGCCGACAGACTCCTTGATATGGGCTTCGGAAAGAAAGTTGCCGAAATTATCGAAATAATTAACCAAGCACAAAACAAAGTCGACGACAATCCTGTTCACCAAACCATTCTCGTATCAGCTACATTACCAAAAGAGCTTCATTCCCTTACTGAAATTGCTTTATATAAACCAACCGAAGTTGGTATCATGCAAGACGAGAAATTCTCTATTCCTCAAACATTACTACAGCGATTCGTTACAGTTGATGCCAAATGGCGTCTTGTTGCCCTTGCAACATTACTAAAACGATATATGATTGAAGAACCAGAGACAAAAGCCATTGTTTTCCTCAGCTGCTGCAAGTCCGTTGATTTCCATGCCTCATTCTTCTCATTCTTCAACTTCATGACACCAGAAGAAAGAGCACAAAAAAAAATTCCACAAAGAAACTACAAAGGACCAAATCCCAATGCCGAAGAGAACAAACCAACCATCAGAGATACACATGCAAGCACAGATAACGATGAAGTCGGTGCTTTCTCCCAATTTTTCAATTGCCCAGTCTTCAGAATCCACGGAAACGTTGATCAGATCGAAAGATCAAAGACAATTTCAAAGTTCACAGCTGCAAAGAGTGCAATTATGTTTTGTACAGATGTTGCAGCTCGTGGTCTTGATATTCCTAACATTTCTGTAATCATTCAATACGATCCACCAGTTGACACAGAAGATTATGTACATAGAGTTGGCCGTACAGCAAGAATTGGACATGACGGAATCTCTTATTTGTTCCTTCAGCAAAATGAGCTTGGTTTCATCGATCTTTTGAGAGATAGAAAGGTCCAAATCAAGCCATACAAGTACGAAGAGTTGCAAAGGAAAGGCGTTGCAGCAATGTTAGGTGATAATCCAAATTTGTGTTTCGCTGCTATGAGAAAAGAAACATTTGAGTGTGTAAAGACAAATGATTTAGAGATGGCGGCTGGACAAGCATGGGCTGCTTCTATTGCTGCTTACACTTCGCACCATAAAACAACGAGGTCTATTTTCAGAGCACAGGCATTACACCTCGGACACTTGGCAACAGCATTTGGACTTGAGAAAACACCAGCAGAGATCAAGGAAATGCTGCATGAGGATCGCGATCTTCAGGAAAGCATCAACAAACCAACAGAGAAGAAGGAGATGCTTCCTGCATTCGAAGAACGTACTTCTGAATTCTTATAAAGATAGAAATTTTGATTATTATTTTGTTAAATTCAAATTATTCCTTTTTTTTTACATTTTTTATATTCGACTTGAAATAAAATTATATTATAATCATAACTTAGTGATAAAATTATGACATCCATTTTGAGTGAATTTTATGATATATCTTCATTAGCGATGGCAGCAAACAAATTTTCAGACTCACTGTAATAGTCTCTTGATTTTCATATGTTAACTATAGTATATGAATATGACTCAAGTCACTGATTTTCGAAATGATTATTATAAAAATGACTGTCATGATTAATTTTAGTTTTTTTATTGGTTTATTTTGTTATGTGTTATGTTTAAGGCTTTGTTGATTGCATTAATAGCATTTTAAGGACCACAGATATTGAGATAAAAAAAACAATAAAATCTAATGAAATTGAGAGACAATAACAAAAAGTGGCATTTTCTATTTTTCAAACAAATTATTGTCAATCCACATATGGCAATTCATATACAGAATAAACCAGCTACTTTATCTCATCAAATAATTAAGTATTGCCATCAATCAGAAATAGTCAAAACGCAGTTCAAGTATGAAAAATGCAAAAAGATTCAGTTGGTCTGAATATTTTGGTAATATAAATAAAGTCGATCAAGCTTATAATGGAACAGCAATATATGATAACACAAGTTCTAACAATTATTACGTTAATTTTTGCACCTTTGAAAATTGCACAGAAAATGGTGCAATATATATCAAAAGAAATAACGAAGTCTACGCATTATTTGAAGATTCCGAATTTACTAGATGAGATTCCACTAGAAATGGTGGATCTGTTTACTTTTCCGGCTATTATGCAGGACATTTTGTTCAACAACGAAATTGTTATTTTAAATCAATAGCAACAGGATATTACATGGCATTTTTGCAACAAGCTAATCATTCTTCTACTAATAAAAACTACGCCTTTGAAATTTCAGTTTCAGAATGCGGAGAAAGTGATACAAAAGGAAGTTATACATTAGGACTTGAAAACGGTGATATCCAATTTAAGAATAACAACAGCACTTCCAACAAATGCAATTTCTGTTCATCAATATTTAGTGTCCTTGAAGGACAATCAGGTTATTGTAAATTCTCAACATTCAGAGGAAACAACCAATTTAGATTTAAATCTCTTTTATTTAGTTCTAATAAAGTTGATAATAAGCATACAGTTTCTTATTGTAATGTTATTGGAAATAAATACAGATCGAACACTGAACTAGGTCTATTTTTTTGTGAATTCAATACTGATGTTGATCACTGTGTATTTTTAAATAATACTGCATCACATATGTTTTATGTTGAATACGCTGGCTTCACAATGACTATTAGTGATTCATATGTTCAAGCAAAGTCAAAAACAGGATCAGGAGCTGTTACATTTGAAAGAGAAAATTTAAATTCAGAAATTATTAGTATTTCATTATCAGATGCAGAAAACTGTGCCATTGAACCGAATGTAATGACAGCCAAGGTTTCTTATTTTTTTGAATTTGCAGAAACTTCAATTGTACTATTTTTTAAATAGCATTAGATTACATATTTTTTTTTCAAACTTGATATTTGTGTAGTTGCAAATATCTATTGTAACTATTGACATGAGCTTTCCATACATGTATTTGGAAAACTGTGACTTCTCAATATTGAAGGCCCAGTATTACTTGAGAAGAATACTTCTGAACTTGACGCTCTTGAATTCATTGATATAAGTCTGAATTTTCATTCGATATCATTTGGAAGAGTTTTACATGGGGTGCAAAAAATGCGCAAAAACGATTATTTAAAATTGAATCTGCGCATATTTTGCGCATTTGAAAAAAATTGGAGTTGACTATTATAAATAATCAAAACCATTAATAAAGTATAGCCACAATTGCATATGCAAAATACATTAAAGAAAAAATGCTTACATCTTTTGACTACTTTACGCGGATAGATTTTTAAACGCACAAATAATTCGCAAATTGAATGTAAAATAATCGTTTTTGTGCTTGCTATAATTTAATATCATTTGGAAAATAGAACTTAAAAATTTGGGAACTAGCGCGCCAAAATTAAGGATATTGAATTATAGCAAGCATTTTGTAGCATCTGCAGTTTCAAACTCGGAGAAAAATCAATGAATATCAAACGAGAAAGAATAATATTTACCATTAAATTCCTGATCATTATCAGCATTCTATTGGTAAATATTATTTGAGGAAATGCCAAATTTGATCCTTTTTTATTATACCAAGACTTTTGATATACCTCTCTCAAAAAAATAGCATTGAGTATTTGTAATATTTCACCAAAACTCAGAATTTCCTGCATTTTAAGCAACTTTGAAGAAATCTGTTTAAATGGTCTTAACTTTCCTGCTTTCTCTTGCCATCTTTCTGTTGCATTAATGTAACCATCCTTGTCTCTACGTAAGACTTAATAACCGTTATAAGTGCTTTTGTGAATGTTTCACATTAATTTGTTTCGTGAATGTTTTGCTTCGACTGACATTTCTGTTCTAAATACAATATTAAAAATAAACTAAAAATAAAAATAACTTTATTTTTTTTTGGTCTTTTTGAAATACATGAAAATTCAACAGGGGTGAAAAAAGAGGTGAAACAAACAGGTGAGATCTAACTCTTGCGCTAAAATTTATTATTTTGTCTGATTTACATCTAATGAAACAAGTTTAGAAGAATTATTCTTATTCTTTCTGGCATATTTTTGTCTTTTCTAGTAGGAGGAGCTCCCCGCTCTAATGGTCCAGAATGTGTTGGCTTCGACTCTCTCAAGTTCTTAGATGGTAATACCAACATCCCTCAAAAAGCCCTTTTGCTTCAATCTTACTTTATAAGTGTCATCGTTTGTGTTATAGCAAGTATTTCAATAACCACTCGCTCGCTTTGCCTTCGTAATGGTATTCAGAAGTTTTGCCATACTTATTACGACTAAATTTATGTGAGGAATAAAACCGCAATAGAGTCGTCGGCAGCTTTTATAAGATATCATTAACTTGCGTAGAGTCTACAATATAATATTTCGAACTTACATCTAACGTTTTCCTTTGTCTACTGGTTTGTCGCAGAAATCAACAAACTTTTTTGTACAGGATGAGGCGTAAATTTGTGTTGAAATTCTGATATTTTGTGTTTGGCTTTTCGTTTCTTTTGTATACTCTTTGCTTGCTTGTTGTTGTGTTCATTGAATTTGGTGTATGTCCTGTGTAGAATGTGTGAGGAATTATAATACCTCTGAGAAAATGTTTCATTGTTTCTTCGTAAATGTCTCGCTTTGGTTTTAAATTCTGAGAGTCCCTTATGAAGCGGTTATGATGCCGGAGTATAGTTATGTTATCGGTCTTCAGTAGTGTATGTGAGTTATGGTTATGCTTAATGAGAAAATTCTGTGATTGTCATATGCTGAGTAATGCATCTGTCTTGGTCTGATGTTAAAGGTACTTGGGTTTAATGTTCTGACTGCACAAACTTTTTGTAAAATCTTACACTTCACGAGTTCCTTTTCATATTTTCATTGGTATATGCATATGCTTTACGGAGTGGTTTAAACATTTATGAAGATCGGAGGATGGTTTTATGTCCTCCTTTTCTGCTTTGAATGAGAGTGTGCAAATTGGTAATGCGTCAGGAGTGTTGGAGTAAATTGGTAAAAAGTAGTCGTAAGGGGTTTATTTTTGTTTGATGTACAAACAATTTTTGTCAAGAACTTTTTAACTTCAGCTCTGTTAGTAAAATCCCAAACTCTTTGCAGCTTCATGTGAACTTTTAATGACCTCAATGGATGTTGTTCGAATAACTTCTTTCAGCTCATTTATGTAAAGTTAAGATTTGTAACAACTCGTATCCAAGCGTGGCATTGTTAATAATAAGGACGGCAAGTATAATCTTTTCCATTACCTGCTGGTCTGTATACAGCTACAACATGTGTATGAAATTTCCTGAGTTTCCACAGAAATACCTTGTGCTAACATCTTTGGGTCATTGAGATATCATATCTGTTAATCTCCTGTCTTATTGAACCGCTGCACATGACTTTATATAGACCTCTTTTTGTTATTGAATGTGAATGGTTTCCTTCCACAGATGTTCTTCGCCACTGAACTATGCATATGTGAAGGAAGGTTTTCAATACCTATTTTCTTTGAACCTCTCCATCTTCTTGACTGCGTATTAGTGTAAGAATGGAAAACTGTCAAACTATTTCATTACGCATCTACCCAGCAAATAAAGTGTTTGATTTATTGGATATGCATAGACGTCATAAAACTTCTATAGGATATATTAAATCATATATGCTCATAATCTATAAACATATTCCAGAACTTATGTCATTAAATAACATTTTGGAATGTACTCCCGGATGAAATGTTGCATTCTGTTCCACTGTTTATATGTAATGTTAGTTCAAATAGAATTATCCAGAAAAATTCAAAAGTATCTGGTTGAAGACCTCTAACAAATTCAAATGGGAGTTGCTGGTTCACCATTTATAATTTTCTGTTGTAAATGTATTGTATGTGTTCATTCTTGTTCTCAAATTATTTTGTTTCTAGTTCCTGCATCCAATATAAGTTTTATTCTGCTTTCTTAGTCTACATTGTTGGTAAGTTCATATGCTCAAATTTCTGGCAATGACTTTCAATGTTCCTGCAAACTCTTCATTAAATGTATAAGAGTAATACTTTACGCTTGTTAACTTGGAATATTTACCTAATGTGCACTTGAGAACCAAGGTCAAATTTCAATATTATGTCGTCTGCTCTAACAGTAGTGAATGGATTTAATGTGTAATTGGTTCTTGTCAAGCTTTTACATGTCTAAGTGTTAGCTGAATGGAAGTGTCATTTATATGGAGATGTTTGATCGTTTAATGAGATTTTCAAACTTTGTTCGATTGCTTTCGAGTTCAACTTTGTCACATTTACTTTTTTAATAGCATTTCATACGTTTATTTTTGCCTTAACTCTCAAAGTAAAATCTTGGTTCAACTAATCACCTTAACATTGAAAGTAGAAGCATAAAATTTCACCGGTATAACAAATGGCTTCTGGTGCTTGTTAGCTACATCAACTGACAGTAACAGGCTTATGTCATAACTTTAGCACGAATGTATTTATATCCTTTCTTTCATTTACATTTTTTGTCTTCGCTTCATGACTTCGTGTTAAATATCCATGGTAGTTCCGTTAAATAATCTGTTCCGTCACTGAAGTTAATAATGAACATGGTTCTTGTCGCTTTACTATTTAATTAGATTGAAAGTTCATTTATATCGGAGATATGGTTTTATGAGATTTTCAAACACTTTGTCTCATTGCGTCCAAGTTCATTTTTGTAACCTTACTATTTAATGTAGCTTGAATTCAATTTATTATCGGAGTATTGTGTTTATGTTCTTTATCTGCCTTTTTCCGGCTAAATTTCTCTTCGTGGATTCTCATTTATTTTCAAGTTCATGGCCTATACCCACACCTCCGAAGAAGTTTTTTCTTTCAGCTCTTGCAAACAGTCCACTTCGCCATCTGTTGTGTCAATAATGAGACTTTGTAGTTAAAACCTTTCATGCTTAATGGATGTTTGTTAAAACGACTTTTTCTCACCGTGTTCGGGGTCATGGTCCGTCATCATATCTGTGAAATAAGAGATGTTTGCTCATATCATTAAGCTATATCTGTCTCAAATAAGTTCTGCTATTTTGAAACTGGAACGAAAGATAGTACAGTAAACTTCTCATTCATCTCCTAAAGTCAAGTCTGCTTTCGTTAAGTATTTTCTTGAATGTATGCAATGAGAACAGAGTACCTTTGGAGAAAATATCGAACAAATATTTCATTAGCTGTTGGTTTTGGTGGTTCTTCTGGAGTTTCTGTTGTTTCAGTTCCTTCTGTTGGAGTTTGCATCTCTTGACTTCAATGCTCTGTCTCTCAAAGACCTAAATGTTATGAGCCCCGGGTGTTTACCAAAGGACTATTATAGAATGCTTTAATAGTTTCCTGGTAAGTTATTGTTAGCTATTAAGTAAGTTCCTTATGCTTCCATCATGTACGTCATAGTCACTATGTAAAATCTATAATTTTCTTGTAGTCAGCAATAGAACCTGACTGTGATTTTTTAAAGATTTGTCAATACCTTTAAGCCAAGTCTTCATGATGTCTGATACTGAGCCAAGAATATTCATTTGCTTCCTTTATGTATTTTGTGCTTGTCGTTAAAGTATCCAAATCCGTACGTGCATTGTTTCTATAGCTCTTACAGGTATCTATTTGACTCTCTTGTTTTCTTGCATCCAACCAGATAAAGTTTTTAATAGTATCCGAACCATTTTGAAATGAAGTTTCAAAAGCATTTTACGTCATTTAAAACTTCTCACCAAGTACTGCCCATATCTTTCGATTGGTAATTGAGAACTTCCATTATGAAGCAGTCTGGTGTAAACCAGTTATTTAATAAGGTCCCGATATCCCATGATTTAGCAGTTTTTCCATCCTTTCCATCTTTCCATCCAAACCGTTTTCGCGCTTGAGGT